CAACTGATTTTTGTGTGTTGATCTTTTATTTTGCAATTTTGCTGAATTTGTTTATTAGCCCAAGTTGCTTTCTTATTGATTTTTTTGGGGGGGGATTTTCTAGGTATAAGATCATGTCATTTGTGAATTGAGATAGTTTTACCTCTTCCTTTCAAGTCTGGATGCCTTTTTTATTCCCTTTTCTTCACTGCTAGCTCTGACTAGAATGTCTGCACTGTGTTGAATAGCAGCCTTATACTTTAGTACATTAGTGTAGTCTAAAAGTTAATTTATTCTAATCAATGTACTACATTCTTACATTGAACCCTCCTTGCATTCCTGCTATAAATTCCATTTAGTCATGATGTCTAACACTTTTAATATGCTATTAGATTCAATTTGCTACTGTTTTGTTGAGGATTTTTGCATCTACAAGGGATACTGGTCTGTAACTTTTTTTTCTTGTGATGTATTTATCTGGCTTTGATATCAGGATAATGCTGGCCTTAGAGGATAAATTAGGAAGTGTTCTTGCCTCTTCAGTTTTGGAGAAGAGTTTCAGAGGATTGATGTTAATTCTTTATTTTATTTTATTTTATTTTATTTATTTTTTTATTATTTTTTTTAATCCTCACCCGAGGACATTTTTCCATCCTTTGTACAGACAGAGTGGGAGGGAGAGAGAGGAAGGGAGAGAGAGAGAAACATCGACGTGAAGGGACACATCGAGTGGCTGTCACCCGCACGACCAACCAGGGCCGGGGACAAACCGCAACCGAAGTACATGCCCTTAGCGGGAACTGAACCCGGGTCTCTCAGGACCTCAGGACCTCAGGCCGACGCTCCAACCGCTGAGCCAAACTGGCCAGGGTGATGTTAATTCTTTAAATGTTTGGTAGAATTCACCAGAGAAACTATCTGGTCCTGGGCTTTTCTTTGTTGGAAAGTTTTTGATTACTGATTCAATCTCTTTACTTGTTATAGGTCTGTTGAGATTTTCTATTTCTTGAGTCTATTTTGGTAGTTTGTGTATGTCTAGGAACTTTTCCATTTCATCTAGGTTATCTAATTCACTGGGATATAATTGTTCATAGTATTCTCTTATAATACTTTTCTTTCTGTAATGTTGGTAGTAATGTTCCCACTTTCATATCTGATTTTAGTAATTTGTGTCTTTTTCCTTTTTTCTTGGTCAGTCTTGCTAAAAGTTTGTCAGTTTTGTTGGTTTCATTGATTCTATTGTTTTTCTTTTAATTCTACATAATAAGACACTCACAAGATCCTATTATTGAGATATAAAGTCAATGTTCATTTAAATTTTTTAGCTTACCACTTTATGTTGTTGTTGCTTTTCTTTCCTTCTGGCATTCTTACTTCTTTGATCTGGTCTGATTTTCTTTATGCCTGAAATACAGAGATAGTTTAGAATTTTCTTTAGTGTAGATGTTCAGTGTTTGCCTGAAAATGTTTTTATTTTGCCTTCATTCTCCCCCCCACCCCCCTTTATTGATTTTAGCCGTAGAGGAAGTGAGAGGGAGAGAGAGAGATAGAAACATCAGTGAGAGAGAACATCAATTGGCTGCCTCCTGCATGCCCCCCACTGGGGATCAGGCCCACAACCTGGGCGTGTACCCTGACTGGGAATCGAACCGGTGACCTCTTGGTGCATGGGTTGATGCTCAACCACTGAGCCACACCAGCTGGGCTTTAAGATTTAAAAAAAATTTTTTTCCCTTTATTGATTTGAGAGAGAGAAGAAATGAGAGGGAGAGAAAGAAGCCTTCATTCTTTTTTAAAATATGCTTTTTTAGAGAGAGAAAGGGAGAAAGAGAGAGAAACATGTATGTGAGAGAGAAACATTGATCAGCTGCCTCCTGCATGCCCCCTACTGGGGATTGAGCCCGCAACCCGGGCATGTGCCCTGACTGGGAATTGAACCAGGAACTCTCAGTCCATGGGACAATGTTCAGTCCACTGAGCCACAAAGGCCAGGCATAAGCCTTAATTGTTATTCTAGATTTATTTTACATATACAAAAATACATATATACTTTTAACACAAATAGGATTATATAATAATGTCATATTCTTTGTTGTATATCATTTCTGATTATATAAAACTTGTTGCTTTTTAAAAATTCCAGTAACATTGAAGCCCTACATTTGATGGGGTTTGCTGCTCTCCACCATCATATGTATACTAGCTGTCCATTGTATTTATCTTGGTATTATGTCTTCATTTCACTATGCTTTTCCTCCACTGAATGTTTTGGAAAGGGCACAGTCGTGGCTGGGGCACTGTCTCACTTTGGTTAGGCTCTAGGACCAGGTCGTGGTGGGTCTTGTGGGCGCTACAGGGGCCAGCTCATGTGGCTGTGCCTCCCCTCCTGGCCCTGGCATCGGGCTGGTGGTCGTCGCTGGCAGGCAGGAGACTGTCTCCACTCTTGCTCTGCTTGTGTTGTCTCTGAGGAAACAGGATCTTCGAGGACATGAGCACAACTCCCTCTTCATTCCTTGTACAGACCGAGACAGCAGGCAGTGAGAACAGGAGCTCTTAGGAAACCGCTATAGGTCAGACCTTCCAGGCACCTATTTTCTTTTCTTTCTTTTTTTTGTTTTGTTTTGTTAATCCTCACCTGAGAACATTTTATCATTGAGTTTTAGACAGAGTGTAAGAGAGGGAGGGAGAGAGAAACATCGATGTGGACACATCGACTGGTTGCCTCCTGCGCGGCAACCCAGGCACGTGCCCTTGACCGGGAATCAGACCCTTGACCCTTTGGTTCATGGGCTGGCGCTCTAACCACTGAGCAAACTGGCCAGGGCCAGGCCCCCATTTTCTTGACTTTTATTTTTACCTCAGTGGTGATTTATGATGCTCATGCTGCCACAGCACAGCTGGAACGACTGGCTCGCCGTCTGTCGGTGACCTTGTTTCTGAAGTTCTGTCAGCTGGCCGAGTGCTCTCTGGGAAGTCAGGGAGGTGCCAGGTCCTCACCTTCCCGATGGCTTCTCCACGCAGGGCAAAGTTTTGCCCTCGACCTGGCTTTGACAAGAGAGGTGTTTTCTTTCCACAGAGGTGGGGACTAGATCCTTCCTTGGCCACCTCTGTGTCTCTAGGACCCATCATTGTTCTCGTCACCTTGTGAGGTTGGTTGGGACGATTTCTGGTGCTCAGTTCCTCCTCGCCACGGTGTCCGAAGGTATCATTTTGTGGATACTTCTCCTGTTCTCTGAAGCAACCTGCAGCTCAGACTGAAGACAGGGGCCTTCAGAAGCTGGGTAGAGATGCCTGATGGGGTACAGTGTGGCCTACAGGGGGTGCATGTGGGTATGTCATCTTCAACCTCTCAAGGTCTTCTGATCCCAAACTGAACCAAGAGGCAGAGTCTGGGAACAGGACAGAGAATGAAGGCAGTGTCCAGAAAGCCTGCCCCCAACTTGAGGTCCACCTTAAGGCGTGGGCCCACCTTCCACCTTCCTGCTGTCATCTAATATGCTCGGGGGAGCTACAAGGCTACCTGATGGTGAGATACCTGAGGCCGGCAGAGGCCAGGCTGGGTGCCAGGGACGCTCCTTGGCCATGTCCTTGCTGCCTGCGTCAGGGAGAAGTCTTGTGTCCCAGAAGAAGGAACAAATACATGTTGTGGGGGGCTCTGCTTTGTACCAGGGATTTGTCTCTTTTTCATGTTTGGGCCCCCCCTGGCACTGGCCCAAGACTTACGCCTGAGATCAGCTGAAGTGAGATGCAGCTGGAGGAAGCAAAGCTCTTCCCCTGAGGAACCAGGCCCAGCGGAAGCCTCTACGTGCTGGCCTGTGAGGGGCCGGAGCCCCAGTGTGGACGGTGGGAGTGGAGTGATGAGTCTGGGCTGAGGGGAAGCTGAGGATTGAGATGGGACACCCAGGAGTCAGGCTGACCGAGCACCCAGGGCCCGACGGAGTTTTCTGAAGGATCCAGGGGCTGGACTCAGGGCTCCCCAGGGGTATGGCGAGGGCAGCATCTGGGCATGAAGACACTCCAGGGGTTGTCCAGGAGGTCCTGGAAGGGCCAGGTGGGCTGTAATAAGCCAGGCTAATAAAGAGGGAAATACAACTTTTGGATTTTATGTCATTCATTTTTTTCTTTTGAAAACATAGATAATTTTTGAAAACTCAATTCCATCTCTGCTGACCTCACAGTCCAGAGGCTGGTGGGGGAGAGGGTGCGGGACCTCCTCCTGAGCACCCTGATGTCTCCTGGAGAGAGCAGTGCAAGCCCCTCTGCACACCTGTGAAGTGTGGTGCTTGGAGGTCACACCTCTCAGCAGCCCTTCTCTGTGCTGAACAGCACTTGGTGTCCAGGACCCATACCTCCCTGGACTCCCTCCTTAGTCTGAGACCAGCCTGCGGGCTTGGCACCAGGGCTGTGGCCCTCCCCCCCCTCCCCCCCTCTCCCCGCTGGACCACAGTGGAACCATCTTCTCGAGTTTCTGGTAATTTTATCAGGGCTGCATCGTGTTGCTAAAGCTACAGATAACATCTCCCTATGGGTAACTTTTTCCTGCCAGAGCCCCTGAGGCTGGGCCCAGGCTCAGAGGAGGGACACGGGGGTGTGGGATGAGTTTGGGGGTGTGAGGGTCTGTTAGGTTGACTGGGGTGCCGGAACAGTGTTGAGACGCACTGCCATTTGCACTGCAGCCTATGGAACAGGGGCTGGAGCTGGGTGGAGGGCCTTTCCAGGCCCCCCAGCTCCTGGAGCTCTGCGGGCTGTCTCCTGAGCTCTCCAGCTAGGCCTGACTGACACCCCCTAAGCCTGGTTGCAGGCACAGAGAGCCACCGCCTCCCAGGCCAGGCAGAGCGACGGGCCCCGGCACAGGTCCACCTTAACTGGGCAGCCCTCTGGGCGGGGCGCTCTGCTGATGCCATCTTCCATCTTCGAAGAAGGCAGCCCGGCCTGAGTGCAGGACAGGCTTGCTGGAGACGCACACAGCTTCAGCCTGCGGCCCTGGCTCCTCGCGCTGGGCGCTGGGTCTGCCCAGCACCATGGTCCAGGGTGCCTCAGGGCCTGATGGCTCCAGCTGGGGCTGGGACTGGGACGGGGACGATGACTGGGACAGCGCTGCGCTCACCCTGCTGGCACTGGCCGTGGTGGCCGCCACAGCACTGGCCTTACACTGGTTTGGCTCGGGGCAGGACCAGGAAGCAACAGGACCAGCATCCACAGGCCCCCAAGCCCAGCCTTCTAAGGCAGGAGGAGCTGGGCCAGCCCTGCCCCCAAAGTCCAAGGTCAGTGGTGGCGACGAAGGACATAGCTCAGGGCGGGGGAAGCCAGACCCCCCAGGACTTGGCCAGGGGGGTCCAGCTGCAGCAGGCGCCCAGGATCACCAGCCCCTGGGAAGTGGAGATCTGACTGCCACAGCCGCACCTCCACTCAAGACACCTGGCGAGGTGGCCAGTGGAAGAGCCCTGGGACAGCAGCATGGCAATCCTACCCCAGAAATCTCCCGGGGTAAAGGGAAGGAGCATCTCAGGCCAGGGGCGGCCCTCCCGGGTACGAGCACAGCAGGAGGAATACCTGCCCCTCTCCTGATACACTTTACTCCTCGGAGCTTGGACAGAGAAGCAGAGGTGCAGATGGAAGCAGGAGGCATCCGAGCCAAGGCACCAGCTCACCAGGCCCTGGGCCACACAGTGGAACAGGACACCGGCTCCTGGAAACAAGGGGTGAGGTCACCTGGCTCATTGGGGAGAGGTCTGGGCAGCCAGCGGTGGCAGATGGATGACAGCTCAGGAGCTAGAACCTGCCGCCCCACACAGTTGGACCCCCTACACCTGGGCACTGTGGTGAGTGTGTGGGACGCTGTGGATGCAGCCAGCAGCTTCTCTGCAGGTGTCCAGAGGTCCTTTGACCCCCAGGAGTTGCCCCCACCAGACTCCGTGCAGACTGGGCACCTGACAGATGGCTCAGAGAGGGTGTACAGGAAAAGCAGCCCTCAGCCAGATCCAGTTTTAGCTCTTAACTCAGGGGCCAAAGCTGGTGAGAGTAGGGAGGTTGGGCCCTGTGCTCCCAAGAAGCCTCAGGGGTCTCCAGCCTCTGTGGAAGGCTGGCCCTGGGCAAGAAGGGAGGCCCTCATCACCAGGAGCTTCAACCAGACCCCAGGCTCCATGGGCCCATGGCCAGAGGGGCAGCAGTGGGGACGCCCACTCTTGTCCCAAGGGCAGGGGATCACAGTGTCCTGCATTGTGGGGAAGACTGGGGCTACTGGCTCTGGAGACCATGCTTTCTTCAGCACAGAGCCAGGCAAGACAGAAAAGCAAGGGGCCCACGGTGTCAGAAAAGGGAGAAGATCTCGGCGAGGCAAGGGGGAGCCAAGCAGTGGGCAGGCAGCTGGCGATCTGGACACAGGGAGACCAGCTTCAGACAGCCTCAGTTGTGCACCCTCCCCCACAACCCCCCAACACATGCCTAAGCTTCTCTCATCTTCAGATTCCCCGACCACCAAAGCACAGCCCCATGAAGGCCTCTTACCCGCAGCTCCAACTCTTCCCACCTCCTCTCCTTCACACTCTTTGCCACTCAGAGTTGACCAGGGTCCTGCTAAAGATGAAAATCTCACTGCAGTGCCAGCCCCAGCCCCAGCCCCAGCCCCAGCCCCAGCCCCAGCCCCAGCCCCAGCTGCAGCCCCAGCCCCAGCTGCAGCCCCAGCCCCAGCCCCAGTCCCAGCTGCAGCCCCAGCCCCAGCCCCAGTCCCAGCTGCAGCCACAGCCACAGCCATGCTTGCTCCAGCCCCAGCCCCTGCTCCAGCCCCAGCTGCATCCCCAACCCCTGCTCCAGCCCCAGCTGCATCCCCAACCCCTGCTCCAGCCCCAGCTGCATCCCCAGCCCCTGCTCCAGCCCCAGCCGCAGCCCCAGCTCCTGCTCCAGCCCCAGCCCCTGCTCCAGCCCCAGCTGCAGCCCCAGCCCCTGCTCCAGCCCCAGCTGCAGCCCCAGCCCCTACAACACCCCCAGCCCCAGCTGCATCCCCAGCCCCTGCTCCAGCCCCAGCTGCAGCCCCAGATCCTGCTCCAGCCCCAGCCCCTGCTCCAGCCCCAGCTGCAGCCCCAGCCCTTGCTCCAGCCCCAGCTGCAGCCCCAGCCTCTGCTCCAGCCCCAGCCGCAGCCCCAGCCCCTGCTCCAGCCCCAGCCCCAGCCCCTGCTCCAGCCCCAGCTGCAGTCCCAGCCCCTGCTCCAGCCCCAGCTGCAGCCCCAGCCCCTGCTCCAGCCCCAGCTGCAGCCCCAGCCCCTGCTCCAGCCCCAGCTGCAGTCCCAGCCCCTGCTCCAGCCCCAGCTGCATCCTCAGCCCAAGCTGCAGCCCCAGCTGCATCCCCAGGCTCAGCCTCTGCTCCAGCTGCAGCCCAACCAGAAGCCCCAACTCCAGCTGCAGCCCCAGCCCCAACTCCAGCTGCAGCCCCAGCCCCAGCTGCAGCCCCAACCCCAGCTGCAGCCCCAGCCCCAGCTGCAGCCCCAACCCCAGCCCCAGCCCCAGCCGCAGTTTCAGCCCCAGCCGTATCCCCAACCTCAGCAGCAGCTTCAGCCCCACCACCAGCAGCAACTTCAGCCCCAACACTTGCCCCAGCCCTTGCCTCTGCCCCAGCCCCAGCCCCAGCCCCAGCCCCAGCCCCAGCCCCAGCCCCAGCTGCAGCCCCTACCCCTGCCCCCACTGGTAAGTTGAAGCCTGCATATCAGGAGCCTAGAGTGGCTCTCTGCAAGGGCAACCAGGAGGGACGAATCTCAACCAGCTGGGGAAATCTTATTTCCATGGTTCTTAGGAGTCACCCCTTCCCCAGGCAAGAGAGGCCCCAAGGGACAGCCCTCAGGGCAGCTATGGAGAGCCCTAAAGAGCCCCACACTTCCCCAGCCTCAGAGAACAGGGAGTCTGGTTCTTTCCCTGAAGGAGCCATCCCTAGTCTCAAAGATAGGCATGGCTCCCCAGCTGGAATGGTCACAGGGGGCCTGGTTGAGGCTGAATGTCAGCCACAGCAGAGAAGCTCTGAGACTAACGAGGCTGCAGTTCCCAGGGCCCCCTCTCAGCTGTCTGAGCAGAGGAATCCTGGCCCTGCACCTTCCCCTGCGGCCAGGCGGGACCCACAACCTGTCCCCAGGCCACGGAAACGCAGCATGTGTGAAATAGCAGAGAGCTCTGAGCAGAAAGTCAGCCAGGCAGCTCCTGGAGAGGCTCTAGGGGAGAGGCCCAGCCCTGTAGGCAGCAAGGAGGTTGTCACAGAGAAGCAGAAAGAGGCCCGCAAACTCATGGTGTTTCTGCAGAAACCTGGGAGCTGGGGGGTGGTGGAGGGGCCCCGGAAGCCCAGCTTCCCTGCTAGGGAGCCGGCCTTGGCAGCTACTCTGCAGCGGCGGCTGGACCTGGGCAGCTGCCTGGATGTACTGGCCTTTGCCCAGCAGCACGGGCATCAGAGCCTGGCCCAGCAGACCTATGCCTTAATGAGCGACAATCTGCTGCACGTGCTGGGGGACCCAACTCTCTACCGGCAGCTGAGTGGGGCTGACCGAGAGCGCATCCTGAGTCTTCGGACTGGCAGGGGCCAGGCTGTGCTGGGGGTCCTCGTGCTGCCCAACCTCTACCAGGTGAGCCGCTCAGGGCTCACAAGGGGCCCTCCAGTGGAGGAGGCTCCTGCCACTGGCCCTGCACCCCTGCCTCCTCCATCACACCTGCATGTGTTCAACCCACAAGAGAACACATGGCGGCTCCTGACCCAGGTGCCAGAGGAGGCCCCGCTTCGGGGCTGTGGTCTCTGCACCATGCACAACTACCTGTTCCTGGCCGGGGGTATCCGTGGCTCTGGCGCCAAGGCCGTCTGTTCCAACGAGGTCTTCTGCTACAACCCTCTGACCAACATCTGGAGCCAGGTGCGGCCTATGCAGCAGGCCCGTGCCCAGCTCAAACTGGTGGCCCTGGATGGACTGCTCTACGCTATCGGGGGCGAGTGCCTATACAGCATGGAGCGCTATGACCCACGCACAGACACCTGGACCTCACGCGCGCCCCTCCCCGCAGGCACCTTCCCTGTGGCTCATGAGGCTGTGGCCTGCCGTGGGGACATCTATGTCACTGGGGGCCACCTCTTCTACCGCTTGCTCAGGTACAGCCCGGTGAAGGATGCATGGGACGAGTGCCCCTACAGTGCCAGCCACCGGCGCTCCAGCGACATGGTGGCGCTAGGGGGCTTCCTGTACCGCTTTGACCTGCTGCGTGGTGTGGGTGCCGCCGTGATGCGCTACAACACCATAACGGGCTCCTGGAGTCGAGCTGCCCCCCTGCCCCTGCCGGACCCCGTCCCGCTGCGCTGCACCGTGCTAGGCAACACCATCTACTGCCTCAATCATCAGGTCACTGCTACCTTCACGGTCTCTGAGGGGACTGCCCAGTTCCAGGCCAAGGAGCTGCCGCCTTTTCCCCTGGGGAGTAAAGGGGTCCTCTGTCCGTTCATCCTGACTCTGCCCCCGGCCGACCCACTACAGACATCCCTCTGAGCTGCCGCACTGGCACTGCAGCTGCTATTCTCTGGGCAGACTCTGGGCCAGGCTGTGAGCGGGTGGGGCACCGGGAGGTGGCTGCTCGTCTCTCTGGGACAACTTTCCTTGTCTGTTATAATAAGCCTCATGTTTCCCCCTGCCCTCCTTCTCCTCCAGTGAGAGAGCCCAGGCTCCCTGCACTTGTTACCCAGAGTCCCTACACCCAACTTAAGCCTCCTGCCTACATGATTGGGTTCTTGAACCCTCCTCCACGCAGAGGCCAGGTTCCCGTCATAGCACCAACCACACTGCCTGAAAATAATCTGCAGGGACATGGGTCCCCAAGAACCTGGACTTGGCTGGCTGAGGAGTCTGCAACTGTTGAGCCCAGGAAGGAGATAGCTTCCCTGGGGCTCGAAGTAGGTGAGGGGCCCACAGAGGCTGGGGAGAGGAAACCAGGAAAACAGCCTCTCTGGGATTTTCTGCCTGTCCTGAGGCCTTGGGGAGCCTATCCTCAGAAAGACTCTTACCTCTCACCTCTCTGTTGTCTGGTTGGTCCTCAAGGGCCCAGAACCCTTATCTGTGACACTGCTCTGCTGTCTGTAGCCCACAACCCAGCCTAGACCTGGTCAGGACCACTGGGGCTCATGCCCCTCAGCAGCCTTGTGGGGTCTCTCCCACCTGCTCAGCCCCTCCACTTTCCGCCCCTCTTCCCACCAACCTTCTTCTTAAATGAGACCTGGGCTACGCCCAACTCTGCCCCTTATTAGCTGTGTGGACCTGGGCGAGACATATGACTTTGTTTTCTCACCTGTGAAGTGGGGATAATGGACATGTCACTCAGAATTGTGAGAACATAGGTCATATATATGAGCACCTGGCACAGTCCACTTGGGAACCCTCCACAGGAAGGTAAATAAATCTGAATACTGCTGCCTACCCACTCTCTGTCCTGGTTTGTCCTTGGCTGGCCCTTTTTGCTTTTTAGTCTATGCTTGGCGCTACATATGCTTAATTCACTGGCAGCATCTGCATCTTACACTTCCCATGTCTTGTTCACAAGTTTCCTATGCAGCTAGGGGCACAGAAAAGAGTCCTCAGGATGTGCTTGAAAATAAGTTTATTGAGAAGCAGGTGCTCTGCACGCAGCTGTATGTCTGGGGCGCTGGCTGTTTTGCTGCCAGTCAGAGAAGGCTCCCCGCTGTGGCTCTGCACACTGGCAGACCCAGTGTGGAGGCATGGGGTGGGGGTGGGAGGCCTACTGCGTGCGCTTGGTCTCACTGAGTAGCTCTTGCCAGTTCTTTTCCATCTCTTCCTTGCAGTTGAGGAAGGCGTCCTCCAGCCGGCGCATGGACTCTGCCAGTGTGGGGTTGGTGCGTATCACCACCATGTCGTAGGCCATCCATGTGGCCTGCACTGCAACAACCAGACAGGCCCTGGTCAGGCCACATGGTGGGGCTCTGGCTCTGGGACACCCTGGGGACCACACCTAGCTGAGTCACCCAACTATTCTAAAGAGAGAAAGCTGGTCAGCTACTTGTTACAGGGCTCACAAAACTCCCTATTAAAACTACTCCCACCCAGCTGGTGTGGCTCAGTGGTTGAGCGTCAATCCATGCACCAAGAGGTCGCTGGTCTGATTTCTAGTCAGGACACGGGCACAGGTTGTGGCCCGATACCCAGTAGGGGGCATGCACGAGGCGACCAATCAGTGTCCTCTCTCATTGATGTTTCTCTCTCTCTCTCTCCCTGAAATCAATACAGAAAAAACAGCCCTTGCCGGTTTTGCTCAGTGGTTGGAGTGTCGGCCTGCAGACCAGAGAGTCCCGGCTTCAGTTCCCCCTGGGGGCACGTACAAAAACAAAAACAAAACAAACAAAAACAAAAAATGACTCCCTACACAGAGCAGTAATGAAACTCCCCTAATCTCACACAAGTTTTAACTTCTGGATGTATCAGCCCATGACACTAAAAGGCTGGAGGCCAGTCTGATATAAAATGCTAGAAAAAATTAGAGCAATCACAGGTCCTTACTTACTGCACAGTTCACAACTAGTGGTTGCACGGTGGCCCTCAAGGAGTCATAACACCCTCCAAGCTCATAGGCTCTAGTAGCTGATCATGCCCACTCCTCCACTGCCCTACACCTCATGTTTCCTCAGCTCAGTGACCTGGGATGCCTGTCCACCTCCACCTGGGCACCTCTGTGCTTTCACTGAAGGCCAGTCCAGAGGTCCTCCTTTGGGAGGCTTTGCTGCACTGCATGTTAGGTGTCCTCTGGCGCTCACCACTGCACTGACTGACTTCTTTGCTCTTTCCCTTTGAGGGCAACTTGAGGGCAGCATCCCCTGGGCCTATGGGTGGACACATACTGCTTGTCAGAAACCCCACCTCCACAGCTTCTCTCTGCAGCACCCACCCCACTGGTGTGGCACTACCCTCTAGAACTACAAAGCACAAGGGTCCTAGCCCTTCTGCATGACAGGGAGTTGTTAGAAGAGGTATGTGCAGTATTTCAACAGATAGAGGGCATATGACTGTACAGCAAATGCAGGAATTCTTGAATTTTTGGAAGCATGGGAGTCACTTGGGACACCTGTTAAGATGTAGACTGCTAGCCCCTCCTACAACTCAAAGATTCCTGTCCAGTGGGTGGGGAATGGTGCCCAAGAACCTGCATCTGTGTAATTTTGGTGTGGGGGGTTGGGATACAGCTGCTGGCCACACCTTTAGACCAGCTGGACAGCGGTGGAGAAAAGACTGAGAGTCAGATTTTTCTTCCAGCTCCCCACTTGCTGGCTGTGTGATGTGCAACAAGTACTTGAACTTGCTCACCTTAGCCATCTCATCCGTAAGCACAGAGTCCCAATCTCATGGCTCCCCATGAAGATGAAATGAATGATAGCAAGCTACCTAGCACATATTAGATGTTTAAGAAAGAGAAAACTCTTATTATAAAATAAATGATTGAGGTATTTAGGGCAGGTAAGAAATTAAAATTCAGGGGAAAAACAGCTCACAGAAATGAATCTCATATAATCGTATATAGCAGCTGGAATTCCAGCTCTGAGTTTCATATAAGGCCAAAGCAGAAGAGAAAACATACTCAATTACAAGACCCAGTGACCATAAACTAAAACAAACCCATTGTTTAAGACACTTTTATCCTGAGGAAAAAACTGTCCTGTAGGTGTATATTTTGAGAAGTGTAATGTAGTTGAAAATGCCCTTGATGACTTCCTACCTTACACACAAGAAGATTCACCTGTGTCTATAGTTGTACTCACAGATAAAAGGAAGCTGGTGGCAGCACTAAAGCACAGTTCAGAAATGGCAATTCAACAAGACATGACAGTGAGTGCACAGCCCTCTTCTGATTTGATCCAAGGAAAAATATTTAAAATACATAGAACAAGAAGGACTCAATCACATCCTCCAGCAATATATGTCTCTTGAGTTTTTCATTCACTCAGTATGTATTGAGCACCTCCTTTGTGCTAGCATTTTACTAAGGCAGCCCTGTGATACAGTGGTCAACAGGATAGACACACCCTGCTCTCAGGCAGTGTCTGTTCTCATTGCAGTGGGAGGAGACAGATGAACATATGAGACAGTTCCAAATTGTGAAAGGTGCTGTGGAGGAAATAAGCAGTATGTGTTGTGACAGAGAAATAGGGTAGGCGGAGTCATATTATAGACCAGGTGGTAAAGGCAGGCCTCTTCCATGGATTTTTGCAGCAGCAAGGCCAAGGTCATAATCTGGAGGGGCCTGGATAGCAGGTATTCTGAGAGGCTAATCAGACTCCCTATACACTTTGATAACCCACTGGATAAAGCCAAAGTCCTCAAATGAAAATTAAGAAAAAAATGGTCAAGATGTATGCTGTGGACCCTGAGGACTAAGAAGGGCTCCTGGTGGCCACCTGGGCTCAAAAAAATGCAGAGCCTAGAAGCCATTTCTGCACAGAGGCCTCTCACACCCAGGAGAAGCCTCTGCACTGAACTACCTGCCTCTGCGCTGAACTGTCTGCCTGCACTGTGTTCCTGCCATCTGAGCCAGCCCTTCTAAAGGATTCCCTGGAGCCTGGTTGGTGTGGCTCAGTTGGTTGAGCATTGTCCCATGCAGCAAGAAGTTACTAGCTCCATTCCCGCTCAGGGCACCTGTTGGTCTTGTGGGCTAGATCCCTAGTAGGGGGCGTGCAGGAGGTAGCCAATCAATGTTTCTTTCTTTTTTTTGTTTTATCCTCACCCGAGGACATTTTTCCATTTTTTGCTCAGGTAGAGTGGGAGGGAGAGAGAGGAACATCGATGTGAAAGGGACACATCGAGTGGCTGCCACCCGCACAACCGACCAGGGCCGGGGACAAACTGCAACCGAGGTATGCGCCCTTAGCGGGAACCGAACCCGGGTCTCTCCGCAGGCCGACGCTCTAACCGCTGAGCCAAACCGGCCAGGGCCAATCCATGTTTCTATCTCTCCCTCTCCCTTTCTCTAAAATATCAGTAAAAACATATTTAAATACATAAATAAATAAGTTCCTGGAGTCCCATTTCAAGCAATAGGACTGCGGCTTTCCCCATCTAATCAGAGCTGTGAAGCTCTGACCAATTGGAGCAGCTCTATTCTGACCAATCAGGGACCAGGGACAGGGACTTCTGTCTAGGTAAGTCATCTCCCTCTGGCTTGGAGAGCCACTTTCCACTGTAGCCTGCCCCTGAAAAACAACCTCACACAGTGAAGCTGCCTACCTCGAGAGGGACCTGGCCCAGGGGCAGCCTCATAGCCCTGCTGTTTTTATAGCCATGCTGTATTACCATGGAGCTGTTTGCACCAAAATGAAGTTTCCTTCTTCACCACACCTCAAATTGGGGATTCCTGTTGGCATTTGAATTGGCGCCAATGACCATCAGTGGACAGAACCTAGATGCAGAATTTAGTAAAGGATAAGGATAGTGTCCCAGAAATTTGTTTAGGAGGGAGGAGAACTAACTAGTGATGTAGTAAGTGGATTTGCTTTGAGAGCCTGGAAAGTAGAAGTGGAAGACAGGGATCACAGAATGAGACAAGAAGGCGAGCTGACCAGGGGACAGGATGATGATGAACCTGGAGGCCACAGGTTGACTCGCATCGTTGGCAAGACAGCCAAGCAACATTTAAGAAGGTAAATGGTGAAATTCTACCTCCCCAAATCTCAGGTCCCAGGTGGTCTTACAGATGAGTTCTACCAAACTTTGATAGAACAATTAGTGCTTATCTAATACAAGTGATTCCAGAAATTAGGAAAAGAGGGAAGATCGATAATCTCACCATATGGGCTGGTGTAACATTTTTAGAAAAGCATTTTATAGAAGCATTCCTTTCATATAATAGACAATTTGAAAATAGAGATAAGCAAAAATAAAAACATAATTTTTTCTAAGCTGGTTTATTCTAAAACCAAAGACAATATGAGAAAAATTATAGGTGTACCTCACCTGAATATAGATGTGAAATCCTAAATATAACACAAGCTAACCAAATCTAACAGTGTGTTAAGATAATAATATGCTATGATTAAGCAGTCTGTGAAAGAGCTTCAAGGATGCTTGAATATCAGAAAATCAATCACTATAATTAACCACATTAAAAAAAGAGGGGTCTCATAGGAATATTTCACTTAATGCATAAAAATGTAGTTAATAAAGTTTAAAACCTATTTGTGATTTTAAACAATCAAAACTCTAACAAATTAGGAAAAGAAGGACACGTCTTTAACTTACTAAAGGTAATATACCAAAAACTTACAGGAAACATTATATATAATGGAGAAACTGAGAATACATTCCCTATAACACTGGGTGTCAAACAAGGATGCCTCTAATAATGTTACTGGTATTGAAGATTCTGGTAAATGGAATAGATAAAAAGAAAAAAGTGGTGTAAGGATTAGGAGGTAAGAGATACGACTACCAGTATTTATAAATTATAACAATGTAGCCCTGGCCACTTTGGCTCAGTGGTTGGAGCGTCGGCCTGTGGTCCAGAAAGACGTGGGTTTGGTTCCCGCTAAGGGTGTGCACCTCGGTTGCAGTTTGTCCCCGGCCCTGGTTGGGTCGTGCGGGTGGCAACTACTCGATGTGTCCCTTTCACATCGATGTTTCTCTCTCTCTCTCTCTCTCTCTCTCTCTCTCTCTCTCTCTCTCTCCCTCCCTCCCTCCCTCCCTCCCTCCCTCCCTCTATCTGAACATAAAATGGAACATAAAATGTCCTCGGGTGAGGATAAAAAAAAAATGTATATGAAAGAATAAGGACCTAATAACTAAGTCAATCTTACAAAATAAAAGTTAAAAGGGGGAATATGCCCTATTAGGTATCAAGATAAATCCCAATTTTAAAAATAGTGTGCTACAGACAAATAGACCAATGGAAGAAAACAGTAAGCTCAGAGATAGACCGAAGTATACTGTATGGAAATTTAGTACATGATGAATGAAATAACTCCAAAAATCAAAGAAAAAAAAGACAGTGTACTCAAGATATAAATATGAAAGGTAAAATAACGTTTATAGATAAAAATTTAGTAGTGGTAGGGACTTCTTAAAAACCACAAACCATAAAGCAAAATTGGATGAATTTATTTTTATAAAAATTTTTTAAAATCCTCACCCAAGGATATTTTTCTACTTATTTCAGACAGAGTGGGAAGGGGAGAGAGAGAGAGGGAGGGGGGGAGGGAGAGGAGAGAGAGAGAGAGATAGAGAGATAGAGAGATAGAGATAGATAGATAGAGAGAGAGAGAGAGAGAGAAACATTGATGTGAGAGAGACACATGGATTGGTTGCCTCCTGCATGACCCTGACCAGGGCCAGGGACTGAACCGCAACTGAGGCACATGCCCCTGACCGGAACTGAACCCTCGACTCTTCAGTCCATGGACCAAACTAACTGCTGAGCTAAACCCGTCAGGGCATCACCATTCTACTTTTGCATAGGCAGACTTGGAATAATGTTCACCAATGTAAACAACAGTTAATTTTGGGTGACTGGATTTTTTCCCTCCTTTTTTATTGAATTTATTGGGGCGACACTGGTTAACAAAATTATACAGGTTTCAGGTGCACAATTCCACAACACATAATCTGTACACTGTATTGTGTGTTCACCACCCAAGTCAAATCTCTGTCCATCACCATTTATTCCCCCCTATACCCTCTCCCACTGGGTAATTGGATTTTGTTGTTTTTAAACTTTTTTGGTAATTTTCTATTTTGATTGAATTTTAATTTGATTGAATTTTATTTTTTTTTATTTTTTATTTTATTTATTTTTTTCCCATTTTTTTGTTCAGGTAGAGTGGGAGGGAGAGAGAGGAACAGAGAGAGAGAGAGAAACACCGATGTGAAAGGAACACATCGAGCGGCCGCCACCTGCACAACTGACCAGGGCCCGGGACAAACTGCAACCGAGGTACATGCCCTTAGCGGGAACCGAACCCGGGTCTCTCAGGACCGCAGGTCGACGCTCTAACTGCTGAGCCAAACCGGCCAGGGCTAATTTGATTGAATTTTAAAAACAATGAACATGCAGCATTTCTTGAAAAAAAAATTTAATGATTATCAACTTAAAACTTATTTATTAAATTTATTAAATATAAATATAAAATGCTAATAATCACACTTGAAAATTCCAATTTATATAGTATGCTAATAAATTATAAAATGGATGATTTGAGAGGAAATATGAAATACCCAAATTGACATTATCTTAAAGCAATAAGCAAAGAAGAAATTGAAAGTTATCAGAAACAATTTCCAATAGTTTAGCCATTAACATCTTTGAAATATTCAATAACAGATGTTTCCAAATATTATACATATGATTTCAGAATATAGAAAAAGATAAAAAACTAGAGGTTGAGTAGATCTGGAATTGCCACAGTTTAATCAAATACCTCTGAACAAATATGTAAACTCTAGTTTCCTCATCTATAAAATAGAGATAATACTAGTGCCTATCCCCCATAAGTTTGTAATAAAGATTAAATGAGAAAATGTGTGTAACGCATATAATAGAGGCCAACACATGGGTAAACAATAAATATAACAAACTATTATTATTTTTATGATTAGGTAACTAGAATGCTAATAAAAACTCAAGAATCTATAGCATTCCTGTATACTAGTATTGATTATTTAGCAAATAAAATTAAAAAAACAACAGAAGTGAGTTTGCTTCCCCACAGAAATAAATGTGTTGAAAGATCTGGAGAATGCTTGTGTTGGCAGCATATATACTAAAACTGGAACAGTGCAGAAAAGATGAACATGAACTATGCTCCAGTATGACATGCAAATTCACAAAGCATTCTATATATATATATATTTTTTTTAATCCTCACCCGAGGACATTTCTGCATTTATCTTCAGATAGACTGGGAGGGAGAGAGGGAGGAAGAAAGAAACATCAATGTGAGAGAGACATATTGAATGGTCACCACACACATGACCCCAATGGGGACCGGGGACAAACTTCAACCGAGGTACATGCCCTTAGTGGGAACCGAGCCCAAGACTCTCTGGTCTGCGAGACAATGCTCCAACCACTGAGCCAAACTGGCTAGGGTAAGCATTCCATATTTTTATGTAATGAGTAGCATGATGGCTATAGTTAACAATACTGCACTGTGTATTTAAAAGTTACTAAGAGAGTAAATCTTAAAAGTTCTCATCACATCTGGGCTGTTGTGGCTCAGTGGTAGAGCGTTGACCCATGCACCAAGAGGTTGCTGGTTCGATTCCTGGTCGGTCGTGGTATGAGGGGCATGCAGGAGGTGGCCAATGATGTTTCTCTCTCTCTCCCTTCTTCTCTCTAAAATCAATAAAGAAAAATAAAATTTTTTTTTTAAGTTCTCATCACAAAGGAAAAAAAAAACTTGTAGCTATGTGCGGTAATGGCTATTAATGAAACTTATTGTGGTAATCATTTTGTAACATATACATATATCAAGTCATTACCCTGTACAACCTAAACTTATACAGTATTATATATTAATTATATCTCAATAAAACTAGAAAAAATAAAATTGAAAGCAAAAAATGTCTAGAGAAAAGTATTGTAAAACCCTTTTGAGACATATTAAAGAACATATGAATAACTGAAGAGACATATTTCTGCATGAGAACACTTAATGTTAAAAAGTCATTCTTTTTATATTAATGTACAGGTTTAACACAATTACAAATAAAATAGTAAATTAATCTATCATTCATCTGGAAGAATAAATATATGAGAACAGGTAAAATAGAATAATGGAGAATTTACTGATTGATGATAATGAATAAGCCATAAAACCTGACATATTATGATACAGGTTAGCTATTTCTGCTCTGCTATATATAAGAACTTCATGAATAATAAAGAAATAATTTCTGAACTAATAGAATAGGATGAAATAAACTTAAAAAAAAAACCAAATTAGAATATCTTTTTTTGTTGTTAATCCTCACTCAAGAATATTTTTCCATTGATTTTTAGATAGAATGCAAGGAAGGAAGGAAGGGGGGAGAGAAAGAGAGAGAGAGAGAGAGAGAGAGAGAGAGGTGTGAGAGATGTGTGTGTGAGAGAGAGATTGATGTGAGAGAGAAGTTAGAATCTCTTTGTACCTGAGAAATTTTATATTCTTAAGGCTAACTCCCGTAAGGCATACTACAGCTAAACATGTACTAGGAAAATTGTCCTAGGCCTTACTTTGACTTAAGTTCAAGAGAATGGAAAGAAAATTTTAAGCCTTGGAGTTAAGAGGATTTTGCCTTTTAATATTGCTTGAAATGTATATCTTATATTTATTTGCCGGTTGGTAGTTTTCATACTTGTTGATAGTTACTTTCTTGGTTATTTTCCTGGCCCTGTGTGGTTACTGGAATAACTGGACAAAAACTTTCCCAGGGACAACATAGGCCAAGTGGGCCTCACTTAAAATTTAACCTAAAGAATCAGGGTCAGAGATTATATCATTTGGGTACAAAATGATGCTACTTTTGCTAACAACATTTGTCCTAACTTGTCCTAAGGACACTGTGAGGAAATAGATGTGCTGTTACCCTTCAGGTAGAAAAATATATTAATGTTCCCACTTATTGGATTAGAGCCCAGGAACATAGAGTTTGCTTAGGAAATTACAAAAGGCAAACAATACAAAAAAAAATAAAAAATACAAGACATTTTTTTTTTTGTACAGATAGAGTGGGAGGGAGAGAGAGGGAGAGAGAGAGAGAGAAACATCGACGTGAAAGGGACACATCGAGTGGCTGCCACCCGCACAACCAACCAGGACCGGGGACAAACTGCAACCGAAGTACGTGCCCTTAGCGGGAACCGAACCCGGGTCTCTCCGGACCACAGGCCGACGCTCTAACCGCTGAGCCAAACCGGCCAGGGCAAAATACAAGACATTTTAATATTATTTAATTTGTTGTTGCTTATATGTTAAAATATACTTTTACCAGCTGATAAAGTATTAAAGAAGTTTTGTTTTTTTAAAAAATTTTTTCCTTTATTGATTTTAGAGAGAGAGGAAGTGAAAGGGAGAGAGAAATAAAAACATCAATGAGCGAGAACATCCATTGGCCGCTTCCTGTATGCCCCTCAAGGGGATCTGGCCCACAACCTGGGCATGTGTCCTGACTGGGAATCAAACTGGTGACCTCTTAGTGCATGGACTGACGCTCAACTACTGAGCCACACTTGCCGGACTAAAGAAGTTTTTAAAAAGACTTATATTACCCTGCAAATTAGACAACTATGCAGAACATTTATATAAAAATAGAATTATAAAGAGGAAATATGAAAACTAAGGAAGAAACAGCTAAAGGGGAAATAATGGACCTTACACCAATCCATGGGATGTAATGTGAAAAGAACCAAGGGGAAGGATGTGGAATCGTGCACAAGAAAACCTCATTCGTGCCAAGTAGATGCAGGCTAAACTTGCTTTATTCCTGTGAAAAAGGAAGTGCACTAGCTTCTGAGAAGTGCAGCTGCTTAAAGACAATAGTTGTATGTATCAGACAACTTTAAGTTTACTTAGAAAGCTTAAAAAAACAAATTTTAAAAATTGGCAAAGCTGAGCCTTTTATGTAACTTGTTTCACTAAACACCTGTCAGCTTTGTCTCTAAGATAAGAGAACATTTTTAGTAACACTATTACTTAGTAATCTTACTTTCACATTATTAATTTACTTAACTATTACCTTAATTATTATTGGAATATTTTCCAAAAAGGGAGTCTCTAGTGGAGCTAAATAAAAATACAGTACATGTGCTTGGCTAAGGTGGCTCAGTTGGTTGAGCATTGTCCCATGCATCAAGAGGTCATCAGTTAGATTCTTGGTCAGGGCACATACCCAGGTTGCAGGCTTGATCCTGCAGGGTGTGCAGGGGGAAGCCAATTTATGTATCTCTCTCATTGATGTTTCTATCTCTCTCTCCCTCTCCCTTCCCCTCTTTCTAAAAAAAAAATCAATAAAAATATTTTTTGAGCCCTGGCCAGTTTGGCTCAGCGGTTAGAGCATCGGCCTGCGGACCAGAGAGTCCTGGGTTCCATTCCCACTAAGGGCACGTACTTCCGTTGCAGTTTATCCCTGCCCCCCAGTTGGGGTCATGTGGGTGGCAACCAGTCGATGTGTCTCTCTCTCTTCCCCCCTTCTCCCGCCTGGTCTATCTGAAGATAAATGCAAAAATGTCCTCGGGTGAGGATAAAAAAAAATATGTGTGTATGTGTGTGTGTGTGTATAGAAATAGCCCTGGTCGTTTGCTCAATGGTTAGAGCGTCAGACCTTGGAAAGAAGGACCATAGTTTGATTCCTGGTCAAGGGCACATGCTTGGGTTTCAGGTTCGATCACTGGCCCCTTGCGGGAGGCAGCCGATCTATGTATCTCCTTCACATTGATGTTTCTCTCTTTCTCTCCTTTCCTGCCTCCCTCCTTTCCTTCTTTCCACTCTCTCTAAAAATCAGTGGAAAGATATCCTCGGGTGAGGATTAACAACAACAAAAAGAAAAAAAAAGAAAAAGAAATGCAGTACATGTCCTGGTTCTTTTGGCATACCAGATGATTTAGAATTAGATTTAATAAAGTAGAGAAAACTAGGAGAATATATGAATAAATATTTTTCTGATCTCTGATTAGGGAAAATTTTTCTAGGCATCAAAGCAATGGGAGTAAATCCGAAAGAAAAATATTGATAGATTTTTCTCTATACCGCAGGCTGACGCTCCAACCGCTGAGCCAAACCGGCCAGGGCAATATTGAGAGATTTTTAACATTAGACTTCTATTTACCAAAGCTTCATATATAAAATTAAAAGAAAAATAGCAAATTGGGGAAAATATTTACTACTATATTGAACAAAGACTTTATAGTCTTAATACATAAAGAGTTCTTACAAATCAATAAGAGATTCTATCACAGATATCTCTGTTCCTTTCTTCTCAGTGCTAAGCCTGCATTAAGTCTAGCTCCTTTGTAGCCTTTAGTTTAGCAAAAGCTTCCTAATGGATCTCCCTGCCTCCAGACTTCCCTCTCCAAACCAACCTTCACACTGTTACCAGAGGTATCTTTCTAAAATACAAGTGTTTTCCTTGAAATCCCAAATGGCTCCCTCTCTCCTAGACAAGAAAGGTAAACTCCTTAGCTTGGTACTGAAGATGCTTCCAACCTTTCAGCCTCTTCTTTGTTTGGCCTACTGCCTTGTAAACTCCATGCGCTACTCTGGCTCCTTAACTACCCCGGGCTTTCGCTCATGGCCATGTGGCCTTGACTACCTATTCTGCTGGACTGCCCTTCTTCTCTACTGCCGCACTCCTACTCGCCTGCCCAATCTCTACTCCTGCCATAATGCTCTGTTTAAAGCCTCTCTTGCCTCTCCAGGCCATCAGCCTTGACTTTTTCTCTTGGTGTCCTTGGTGTATGCCATTAGCATTTGCCAGATTATGATTTTAATATAAAATTTAAATGTTTTAATTTTAATTTATATATTTAAATTATAATTAGTCATCTTGATGTCTGTTTCTGGCTTCCACCCACTTCTCTAATGAAGGAGCATCTCTTCAACTTTATATTCCTGGACTAGCACATGGTAAATGCTCAGCAAATGCTGTTAAATAAGAGAATATTTAATTAGACTGAAGGAATTACATAGCTTACAGTAGAAAATGAATTCTAGAACTTTTTTAAAAGGTAGTTTTAAAAACTGTAAGAGCCCTGGCCATTTTTGCTCAGTGGTTAGAGCATTGACCCTCGGACCAGAGACGTGGATTCGATTCCGGTCAATGACACATACCTCATTGCGGTTTGGTTCCCAGCCCTGGTCGGGGTTG